ATCCAAAAGCCTCCAAAAGCATCAAATCTCAATGGAAATCTTCAAATATTTAATAGAAATCTCCATCCAAAAGCCTGTAAGATAAGCAAATCCCAGCAAACTCAAAAGGGAAACACTATAACAATTAAACATATTCCACTACAACTATCCCTGCCAAAAAAAAGACATTATTCTGGGGCCTTTATCAATCAGTGCATGAAAAACAAATATTCTAGGGGCGTTTATTAATCAGAGGACCTCATTAGGCCTGTCTCTAGGGGTGCTACTCAAGGGTTCATTAAGATTCTCTTTGAAGCTTTCACGACCAGACTTGGAGCCATGGTTAAAGAAAACGAGTTGTCTATACAGAGGAAGCAAGAGGGTTGCTGTTGTTCCAATGGGTAGCTCCGTGTGTGCAACATTGTGCAACGCTGGTGCCATATTGCAGTTTTCCTTCTAAGAGGTGCACAGATTTGTGTATTGCATCGTATCGCTCTACTTTGGGGAGAAAGTTCAGTCCATGCATTTGTTGCTCTTGCTCGTTCAGAGGCAAACGGAAAGGTAGTGCACAGAAAGAGGTTTGCAAAAGCCTATTCTACTAACATCCTGGAAGGCGCGGGACATTCGTAGAACCCAGGGCTATTCGTGGACATTTCGTGGAATGGTGGGCCAGTAGGAGAACTGACTGCAACAAAATCCCAGAAACCTTCACAGAACTTTGAAGGAATATATTTTTTATGCACTAACTTCGTACAAACGATTTTTGCTGACCCCCATTTCTCCACACACCCTCCATTTAGCTTTCAATTTTGGCTGGGCTTGGATCCAAGAGCAGTGTAGACCTTGCAGTCCCTGAAACATTGGTTTGTCTCGGTCAAGCCCACCCTCCTTGTCTCGGAAGAACCACAGATTTTCAGGTGTTCCGGGTCATTATTGCGGATGGCCATGACTTATTTATCCAACCCGCCTCCCTAGCGAAAAAACATACTACATCATACTACGTATTGGTCCTTTCACCTGACGCCCTTCTTAGCTAAGCTGTTTTCTGAGGTAGGGCAGAATTCTGGTTTTCAAGCCATGATGTTGCGGTCAGGCGTGCCTCCAGCAAGTGTCTTCAGGTTGGGTGGCGGATGGCAGTCTAGATGTTTGGTGCTTAGTGCCTCGCAGTTCCAGCACATTCTGAATGATCCCGGGCGGACCAGCGAGGCTTTTGTGGGTCATTCGGGGCATGCATTGTCCTTGTTGTCCGGGGTGCGTCGCGGAATGATCCTGCAAGACTTTTGCAAGAAGGAGCTGGCACGGCTACATCCACACAGCACAATCGATGAGCCGACCACAGCAAGCCATTGTGATGGAGCTCGCAGGTCAGCCAGCAACGCACTGTATGACTTCATGTTGGATGGCCGTGCAATTAAATGCAGAAGTGCACAACTGTCTTGGGACAAAGCTAACAATCATTGGCGTGCAATATTTCACAAAGTCAAGATCCCATGCTCAGGTTTTCGGGATGAGGCTCCATTTGATGATTTGTACTTGACGCTCTTCAGCCCAGATCGCTTGCACATCATCAGGCACGACCTTCAGACCGGAGTTTCATCGACTGGCAAGCGAACAGAAAGCCAGGGTCATAGGATTTCCGTTCAAGGCACACGGGGGCAAGAATGTTGGCAAACGGCGCGGCATCAAATCCTGAACAAGTTCCTGACAAAAGGTTGCGAACTCGTGTCTTCTGTGGATTTGTCAGATGTTGAAGTCAGCAACTGGCTAACACAGCAAATCGAAGGACTGACAGCACCCCAGGATCATGCCTACCAGGGGGTGCCATTGAGCCAAATGGCACCACAACTACGCGGCTTGCGAATTGAAGAGATTGCATTTGAAGTGGATCGGATTCTACATCCAACTTGTTCATTTTCACGAGCTTCATTGGAAGTAGACTGGGTTCGTGCGGGGGTGAGAGTGGAATTCAAGAGCACGCAAATGTGGCATAACAAAGTGCGAGGGAATTGGCGATGCTCTTGGCAGAACATCAAGTGTGCTAGCCGTGGTGTTCGTGATCGCGACCTTTTCGATGAGCTTTGGCTTGCAATCTATAGCCCCCGTGGCATTCATATCTTGAAACATCCTGGTGGTGAAGTCCGTTTCAGCCTCCATGGCTTGCAAGGGCAGGATGATGGGCAGAGGATACAGGTCTTCTGCAGCCAAAATGTGATTGACGTCTGGGAGGCTCTTGATGAAATGCTCAAAAAGCTGGGGGAATGGGGCTGCCAGCATTTGGTGACAATCCTGTGGTGATTTCACAGACAATATTTCACTGCTTTTCCGCAGATGTGATTTTTCTTATATTATTTCATTGTCCTGCCTCAAGGCGGCCTCTGTCAACCCGGTAGTGATGGCAGCAGCCAAAAGCAACTTCTCTGCGGCCTCGACACTAGTGCAACGCAGTGCAGCCCACCAGGTGCTCCTGAATCTGCAATTGGTATCAATTGGTGCGTGCGTGAAAAGTGTGAACTACTCCCCAAACAGAGAGACAGGTGATTTGTTGTTCAAGTCTGTAGGGTCTTCAGCCAGTCACTGCTGAGATGCATGTTTGATGACCCTGGGCTGCAAAAGGATTGGCATGGGCATATTAGACTGGCATTGCGCTGGATTGAGGCAATCCTTGTCGGAGCGGCTTTTGGAACAACATCCATTGGCATCAAAGAAGTTTGAATCATGAGTCTGTCATCTTGCTGTAGGATGAGGGCTTACCCAACACGTACATGTAGATCATGTAGGTCATATACAAAGAAGCAAGTCTTGGCTCGAAAACGGTAATGTTGCGGCCAGGTGTGCCACACACCTGGCCAGGCTGTTTAGAATGTCGAAGACGAGCGGATGGTGCTTTTCTTTAGGTGCTGCCTACCCCATCATCCATGTCTACCCACAGCACTGGTAAATGTTTACTATATATCACGAAACCTGGATCGAGGGTGGAGACTGATCAATTCTCCAGCCCGATCCCTGGCAGCATATAAGGGAGCAAGGTTCACTCATTTTGTGTGGCAGTTGAGTTCTATGCATGGTAGTTTTTCAGGAACACCGTGGTCTCTTGGATGTTCATGAGTAGTAGCAGGTCTGGCTATAGCTGCCGATACCTTTAGAAAGGGAGACCGGAAGACTCAACAGGATGTGACCAACTGTGCATGTCAACGTGCAGGAATCCCCACGGAACCAGAACCAGGGGTGTCCGAGTTTGCTTCGCGGTTTCTTTGCGGTTGGTAGGTGTTCTGAAAGCAGTTGAGCACCACTGTTACTTGGAACCTTTTGTATCCACCGAGTTAGTTGAAATCTCCGACACCTCCCACGATCCACAGCCTTCAAGCCGCCAAAAACCACTCCACAGGAGGGAGAACCACTGGTTCATCAGATGCTGATGGGCCTGGAGTGCCCAGTTCACGTGCTGTTTCGTTCTTTCGCTTTGAACTCTTTTGTGCCAGCACCCTTTTGGTGTTGCGGAAGTAGAAACACGGCAACCACGGCAAGTGTCGCGGAAGAACCTGACAGCCTGACAGCAACGTTTGACGAGCATCTTCAACATCAGCGAAGTTGTTTTCTATTTTCGGAGATGGGCCAAGTGAGCTTGCAGCATCAGAAGCAGGTCACTGGAACATTGGGCCAATGATCTTTGGTATCTTTGGTCTTTGTAGGACTCTATATTCCTGGAATCCACCAACAGTTCTCCAAATCCCTTTGGAACTGCTGACATGTGTTTTTCCTCCCATCGATCTTCCACAAATCACCCCCCAAGCCGCCCAAGCCATTTGACTCATCAGTGACTCTGCACTCGCAGCAATCCTGAAGAAGCAATGCTAAATGCAACTTGCACTGCCTATAGAGTCTATATAAGCTTCCAACTTAGATCCAACGGGGACCACTAAGTTGTTATATAGGTTGTCCAGCCATGTCTGACAAGGAAGTACCTGGTCGGAACCCATTGGCTTTTTCATGGAACCTCTATGGGTTCCCATCCACCTTCGATTCTTTATCGTCCCAATCTCCCGATCTTGCAGCGGTGGAGGTGAAGGAAAAACCACCGTGGTGACGCCCTTGGTGATTCTGGTGCATGGCAGCGCCATGAGGCGCTGCTCAACCCGCGCGAGACGTCGCGCGCGCTTTACTTTGGGATTGGTCGGTTTTGAGGTGACTGGCTCGAGGTCCCAGGATGGGCCGAGGTCGGGCGAGCATCAGATGGCTGAGGTTTGGTTTTGGTTGTTTGTTGGTGTGTGTGCGTGTGTGTCCACACCTGTACCAAAGGAAAGGACACCATCCCATGCGAGTTAATTCAGACAGGGGGCCGGAGCCGGGTGGGGAGTCTCCGGCCAATGAAGTTTTTCCAACATTTTAATTTTTAAGTACTTTAAAGGGCTAATGCGCTCTAAAGTGCTAATGCGTTCCCTCCATCTGCTAGGTATTCAGTAAAGCGGCTAATGCATAGATGGTCTGCTAGATATTCAGTAAAACGGCCAATGCATAGGCACTGCAGACTTGCACCAAACAATTGTTCAAACACCTTCAAGTCTTCTGACCTTTCGCCTTTCGGTTCACTCATTCTTTTCCTCGGATCATAACTGATCTAGCTCTTGCGAGCATCAATCTAAGTGTGTGTCGCCACAGAGTCCCACTGCGGGCTGTGGTGTGATCCCCAGCGAGGGGCGCAGCATGTGCACATGCCCTTAAGGGTGACCCTTCCCTGATCCCCGGTCTTGCACTGGATCCTTCCATCGTGAACCTTACTTGATCCTTCGTTCTGCTCGCAAGTGCCGACCATTCGCCGCAGGGCTTACTGAGATCGAGCTCCAGCACGGATTCTCGCATGTGGCTAAGTATAGTCACATGTCCACGTCATGCGGTTCGGTAATCATAGGCCATGCTGCTAAGTATTCACCTGTCTTTTTGGTTCTTTCTTTCCTGCTGTTGCTGTTCGTTTTCTAGGTCTTTTCTCGTTTTCTATAGACGCTTTTTAGGTGTAGCTGAGGTTTTTTAAATCAAGCGAGCGCCGATGACGGCTTCTTTTGCCAGTGCCTTCGAGCCAGTGCTTTCTACCCCACCCCCACCCCACACCCCTGCACCCTTTCTTTCCTTACCTTTTTCGTTTGCTTGGGCTTTCCTTCAGGCTTGTCAGGTCGTCGTTTAGGCTCGTTCAGTCAATGCACGCCCTGCCCACACCCCACACCCCCGCGCCCCCTTGCACCTTTCTCTTCCTTTCTTGCCTTTTCGATTGTCTTGTTCTTTCTCTATCAGGCTTGTTAGATTGGCATCCAGGCACGTTTAGTCAATGCACTCCCACAACTTCCCCCCCCGCGGATAGACAGGAGCGTGCGCCGATTCCCGGCCTTTTGTGTGTGAATCCAGACCTGTACCAGAGGAAAGGGCACCATCCCATGCAAGTTGATTCAGGCAGGGGGCCGGAGCTGGGTGTGGGGTCTCCGGCCAATGAAGACACCCCCCACCTGGGTGCAAACGTACCTGCGTTTTTCAAACATTTTAATTTTAAAGTACTCTAAAGGGCTGCTGTGCTCTAAAGTGCTAATGCGTTCCCTCCGTCTGCTAGGTATTCAGTAAAGCGGCTAATGCATAGACGGTCTGCTAGGTATTCAGTAAAACGGCCAATGCGTAGGCACTGCAGACTTGCACCAAACAATTGTTCAAACACCTTCAAGTCTTCTGACCTTTCGCCTTTCGGTTCACTCATTCTTTTCCTCGGATCATAACTGATCTAGCTCTTGCGAGCATCAATCTAAGTGTGCGTTTTGTTTGTCAATGTGTGTTATGTTTTCCGGTGCATCGTGAGAACGGTGTTGTTAAACATATTTTGACATATTTTTGATATGTTGCTGGGCGAATTCCTTACCCCCTCCGTGCAGATGGATGTCTGGTTTGAACCCGAGTGCTGAGCATGCTGCTGGGAATTCTTCACAGAGCATGTAATGATTTGTTGCATAGGAGTAGAGGATCTGGATGACTTTGTTGCCATTGAATCAACCCAGATGACTTTGTTGCCTTGGCAAGAGTGGGCGATGGGAAGACATGATTTGGTTTCTTGGCATAGCACCAAAAAAGTATCGACCAAAACTCGAAGCATTGTTCACTATAATATAGCTATATATTAGGCTATAGACACGTTTCTTAAGATTGTGTCATCCAAAAAAACTTTGGACTGAGGGTGCATGTAAAAAATCGGGTCGCAGATCCATGAGATAGAACACAATATGTTATTCTCTATTGCAGTACTGCTGTGTTGACCCAAGGCAGCCGAATGCTAAAAACCACACACATACCAAATTGTTAAGAGATCAGCAGATGAGGGAAGAGGTAAAGAGAGGGAAGTGGGAAGTGGACTTTGCAACAAACAGAAAAGCAGATGTGAGACGTTTAAAGTTGCCATCCTTTCCAGAACTTATCTCCCTGTGCGCTGAGATGACACACTTGTGTTTTTCACCAACCAACACTGGCAGGTCTTGCGTGGTTTGCGTGCCACAAGCGCTTACCGAGTTCACAGTCAGAGTTCTGCGCGCGTGGAGCTTAGTGGGAGAGTTGGATTCAGGCATAGGATCGGTGTAAGTCTTAGGAAGTTCTGGTGGCTGCTGCTTCGTTTGTTTTATCTGTAAGTGCACGTGTGTTGTGCATGTTGGGGATCGCAAGGTGGGAAAAAGGATGCACCATATGTCCAAAAAAATGTTGAAGATCTTAAGACTTAAGATGTATCCCACTACCAGTAACAGTCGGTAAAGACTCCAACCTTCCCATCATCATTATCCACCGGGCTTTGGTAACGGTGATATACCCAAATTTAACCGTTAAACAAGCTTCCTCTTTCGGGTTTTGGCAGTGCCTCCCCTTCAACTCAGTGCAGGAGAGGCTTTGTGCCACCTTGTCCCGACCGGTCACAGAGTTCACCTTCAATCGCGCGACCCCGGTGGGGCGGCCCCAGCAGGTTTGGGTGTGGCCAAGCAGATTTGGGGGGTGGGGTGTAAAGTAGAAGATCTTCCAACTATGCAAAATTATATAATACCATTTGAATCCTTTTGGCTGTTTGTTTCCAGATGAACGTGCACAAATGTTGCATTGCACGAGTCGTGGGGGCAGTGAGTGTTGCCTTTCATCTATTTCGAGATGAAAAGAGCGCGTTTCAAATCCGTGAATCCGGCTGAGGCGGTCAGAGGCGGTTGCCACATTTCAGTCTTTCATGACTAAGGGAGGGTTAGTCATAACGATCCAAAGATTGGAGGTCACTTCTGTTCCTCGTGCAATGTCACTAAGTCACTAATCAAAGGTCACCCCGGCAGTGGTTATTCATTTGGGAACTGGGAATCAGAGTGCAGATGTTGTTTGAACCTCAGAGGGAAGGGGATCACAGAAACAGTTACAGTCTACAGTCGGACACTTGGCCCAGTCGTGTTTCCGAGGGGTCGAGCTATTGCAAGTCGGACAGTTCCCAGCGTCCCAATGGGTCAGTGTAGCAGTGCTGGATATCTTGGTGGGACGGGGAATATATGACTGCTTTGCGCATGCAGAAGCTCCTGCAATGGAAAGAAGAGCAGTAATTATAGGAAACTTTACGGAGTTGACTCGTGCAAACCTCCAAAAACCCTCGGAATGATGTGATTCCAAGCAGAAGTTTCCATTTGTTCTTCATCGTGAGTGATCATTAAACGAAACCATCCATTCAGAAATGCGGTCGCGCGAAACAAACGATCTATACCAGGCACTGCACTCCATGTGTGGAACATATGGCGACAATGACCACACGTCAACCGGAGTC